AATGATGAATATGCTACACTTCTTCCTCATCCCGTTGAATGTGGAAAATACATTGTGTGCGACTGGGGAAATGCAATTGAAATGTTCTGTCCAAAAGGTTTGCATTTCAATTCAGCCTTGAAGGTGTGTGATTGGCCTCTTCGTGCTAACTGTCGATTGGAATTGTAATCGTGTTTTATATTGCATTAGTATTCAAGTTTTAAAATTCGAAGTGTACTTGTAAAAAATCCTTGTAAATATTTGAGTATTGTTTAATTAATAAAAGAAATAATGTCATTGCATAATGTTATATATTTCATGTTTTATTTTATCAAACGCCGATAAAAATCATGTACATTTTTTATATCAGTCAAAATCTCCATTTATCTCCAAACATGTGAACCTATAAAAAGTTGCAAACTTTGTTTTGGGATTATGTTGTTAATACCGCGTCAATCAAAATGATTAAGGGTAAGTGGTGTTATTACTTAATAATGAGTACAGTTCTTTATTATTGTTTGTACATTTTTTTGTGTAGGAATTATGATATTTTTGGCATGTATGCAAGCCATATATGCTTTTCAACCAGAATGCGAAAATTCAGCTTACGGCATTGGTGCAAACAGTTGCACAAGATTTTACGTGTGCGTGATGTCGAGGATTGTGAAAATGGAATGTCCGGACCAGAAACATTTTGATGTTAAATTAGGAAAATGCGTTTTACCGGAAGAAAGCGATTGTCAAGCGAAAGCGGACTTCATCGGTGGTGGAATCGAATGGATTATCAACCCTCATCGTCCGAGCCATCCAGAACATCCGAAGTTTCCTCATTGGCCAGAGTTCCCAGAATTTCCCGAATGGCCTGAGTTTCCAGAATTTCCAGAATGGCCAGAGTTCCCAGAATTCCCCCATTTCCCACACAATCCACATAAACCAACTACATATAGACCAACTACTTCTAAACCGACTACAGTTAAACCCATTACAGTTCCGCCAACTACCACTAAACAAACAACTACTGAACCAACAACTATTCATCCAACCACCACTGAAGTCAGCACTACTCAATCAAAACCAGAGAATGAAGTGAAATGCCCAACTGAGAACGGTCCAGTTCCAGTATTTCATCGTCACCAAACCGACTGCACAAAGTACTACATCTGCGACTGGGGTCATCCTTTCATGATGGATTGCCCAGCTGGTCTTCATTTCAATGCAGATCTCAATGTTTGCGATTGGCCTGCCAATGCCAACTGTTTAGTTACCGTTAATTAAATATGCACTAATGAATTAAATATAATACACATTTTCCAAATTTGTTCTTATACTTAAATCTATGCTCTAAATAAAAAAGCATAATTCAAATTTATAATCGTATTTATTCTGCTTTAAAAATGCCTCATCAAATTACATATTTATTTTATTTGTGAATAATTGAGTAGAAGGTATAAACGTATATTTTCTTAATTACTCTTTTCATGGTGCTAAATCGCTACGAAAGTGCCAAACATTTTGTATAATGATCGGCAATCTTGTGTTTTTACGTTATTGTTGATCATCTTTGTACTTTGGAGGAATCTTTTACCAAATCTAAAACAAAAAAAATGTAATTATATATTTAGAATGTCAAATAAATTCTTGTAGTAAATAAATACTTAATATAAAATATTTTAATAGTTTTTAATAGTTTGCTGTTATATACGTTTAATAAGTTTCATGTTATCTGCTACAATTCTGACGTATCTAATATAATCAGATTTTTCTTCGATGAGTTAATCCCAAAATGACAACATCAAGCACTCATCTTTTCTATGTTCGTCATTTGCAACTAATCGATAAAATCTAGTTAACTGGTGATTAATATGATTCACTGTGGAGAATACAAAAATGTACCTGTTGCCGTTCATTTTGGTGTAGAAAAATTTAATTTTTTCTACATAATTCTTAACGCTGTCACCGCTATCGAATATATCTGGTCTTATCGGTCTTGAAGTAATTTGTATGTCTTGTGTCATGCAAATTCCAACCAGAACCACTGCTGTCATTATCAAAATCCTCCAAGTTGACATAACTGAAATACAAAGAAAATGTTTTAAAATTTGATTTCATTTGTTTTAAATGTTTCTAATATTTTTTATACTGAAGTTTTAACTCTTTGAGGGCCGTTGCTACATGCATTGTACCACCTTTTTAATTGTATCTTAATTTTCTAGAAAATGTTCATGAAATATATATTGTTACAAATTTATTTTGATTTGTCTGGCCACACTTGGATCTAGAAATTTACAAATTTCTGGTCCTTCAAAGAGATAAACATTAGCATCATGTACAAAATTTCTGCTTTACATAGTTTTATAGTAAGTAAATTATAAAATGACAATGTTTCATGGAATAAAGACTGTTTTCGTTTTGATATTTTACTTTATTCTCCTAGTTTTAGTTAGTTGGATTGCGCGGATTATGGAAACATAAGAAAAATACCAGAAAATTACTAATATTTATTAATTTTCGTAAAATGTACGTTAATTACACGACATAAAATAAATACTCTATTCACAATATACCGACCAACACAATGTCGAAAAATTATTTTTTTCGAATGTCTATATAAATAAATACTAGCAGGGCTATTGATTATAGGTCTTTCTGCCCTGACAATTAGTATTGTAAACATGTTAAGATTGAGTTGACTTTACAAATTAATTGTAAAAAACAGAAACTAACTACAATTAAATTTAATTTCTATTTAATAATCGCTTTATTTTATAATATTTTATATAAATTCGTTATAAATATGTAATAAATGTAATAAAAATATTTTTTAGATACGAATACTATCGAAAACGGAATAACATTATAATTCTGATGTGGGTGAATAAAATTCCATTTTTTTTAAATGAAAATACGGCTTTTATTATTTTGACTTACTTTTCGTGCATATATTAAATTATACAGAATAAAAATGTAAGCCATTTTTTTGTAATTTTTTATCACGTATAATGAAAGAGAGTTCATGAACTTTTCGTTTCATATCCGGAAATACTTACGACAAAAGCATCATGATATGAATATAAAAATGATGATATGAATATTTTAAGCATTCTTCTTAATTTAAATATAATATTACATAATAATGAGATCAATCAATTATGAATATAATGCAATTTTTGCTTCAATTATTTTTTTGGTGAATCTTTTTAAAATTTTATTGAAAAAAAAAATGATGTGAATTAAATAAATAATAATAATAATTTATTGGCCAGACAGGAAATGCAAAAAAAAAAATACATTCTATAAATAAATAAATGATATTAATAATAACTAAATAATAAAAATAACTCTCAAATTAAGTAAATAAATTCTAACATAAATTAACAAAAAAAATGAATATGCTAGCCAAAGAGCTATCAACCGAGGTCTTTCAGCCCGGGAAATAAATTTAATTATGGAACAATAACAATATATGCATATGAAAAACAGAAGAATGAGGAAAAAATGCAGCGGAGTAGAAACAAGTGGATATCAATCGAGGGATATTAGGTATTGGAATAGGGATATTTAAATTTGCAAAGGATATTTGGGTTTCGTGGGGTACATAATCTAGAGAGTGAGGCGATGTTGGACTGTTTGGATTTAAATTTCAAGGACAGGGAAAGGTATCGGTCGAGGAGAGGGACTATTTTGGTTTTGGAGTAAAGGAGATCATTAGGAGGATTGTGTAGAGTATTATTAGGATGTCGAATTTTGGTGAGGATACGAAGGGCGGAACGTTCGGATACGGACAGGTTTTTTTTAGGACAGGATTCCGGCATTGGGAAAGTAGTAGGAAACCATAGTCAAGGATAGGACGGCATATGGATTTGTAAATGGATGTTTGGCACTTTATGGATATTTCTGAGTTACGGATGGTTAAGGAACGGAAATGACGGGATCTGGATTTAATTTTGGATTTGAGTTGTTTGGAATGGGAATTGAGATTGAGTTTAGGATCAAGAAGGATTTCAAGGTATTTAACAAGTGGTGATAGGAAAATGGAATGATTATTTAACGTAACATGGGGAGACAAGGGGGATGGTAGGGAATAAGGAGTTTGGTCTTGGATGGGTTAATTTTGAGGCGCTATTTTTATACCATAAAACGGTTGAGGATAGAAGGCTTTGAAGGTTAAGAATAAAGGATTGAAGTGCGAAATCAATGTCATCAGGGTATTGGAGAACATAGAAGATGGGATCGAAGGTATTAGTATCGGTGGTGAATTAAATATAATTACTACATTGAATGAAAATATGTTATACTCTTAAACATAATTTAAAAACAATACAGTAAAGTTTGATAATAAAACACAATCTATTCTAGCATATTTTGATTCAACTTTGACGTTTCGTGACATTGATGTTGATAATATTGATATTTGTGCGTGATAATTCTGTCATAAAATCGTTCGACAAAACGTATTTTTAGTTTTCCATATATACAATTGAACTGTCTCAAATGCTACCGCAAATAAGAATAAAATATAAATGTATTATTTCCAAGGTAATCAAAGCGATATCCTGCGAATTCTTTAATCACTTAATATGTGTTTTATGGTTATTGGTATTCATTTCGAAACATACGCATTACTCTTATTGATTTGATACCATGCTTCATACTTATCTAAGATTTCCACTAAGCGATAGCGCGCACACGTTTTAAGTAAGTTTTATAGACGCAATAAAGTTCTCAAGAAAGAAAAAAATCACATCGTATTTGTTAAAGAATTAAAGTGTAAATTAACAGCTTAGCTAAATACGAAAATTATATCTCTGATAAGAACTAATTGGTTGTAAACGAGTTGTTTTTTCTCATTCAAAACACTTTTAGGTATAGCATATAAAAAAATCTGATTACAATTATACATAAATAAAAAATAATAAGTATATATAAATTATTTAAATTAAATTCAAAGATTTCAAAGAAAAATAATTAAAAAAAATACAAATATTATTTTTTACTCATTATATAGAAAGCAGTTACAATTCATCAAATGCATTTGAATCTCGAATTCTCGAATTGAATTTCCCTTTGTTAATAGCATCTAACATATAATTTAATATTTGAAAATCATCATTTTTCAAAACATAGTTCCTAAATAATAAATGTTTTCTTATATTTTGTGACATTGAAAAGGCGTTTTCATAAACTTATGTGATAATTTTTCAATACCGCCTAATTTATATTATTAAAAAAAACAGTAATATATAATTAATAAATTCGTCTATATTTATATATTGATTTCAATGTTATTATTATATAGTTTAAGAAAAACTGAATCCTATTAGTAAAACCATAGCAGTTTCAATTATTATGTACTTAAAGAACTAATTCTTATGAAAGAAACCAAATTATATTGATAATTAATAGTTGGAAATACAAATATCACTGAGACAATTGCATATTAACATATTGTAATTATCTTGGATTAAAATCTAAATTGGGTTCACTATATTTCTTGTAATTTATAAATAATACAACATATTGAAAAATGTTACTTGCAACGATAATAGCAATAATTAGCCAAAAGTGTGAAGTGGAACTAGAATAATTACAAAACTTTCCAAAGGTGACACATCTTTAAGGACTTAGTTATAATACCAAATTACGTTTTTGAGATCATGCTGATCAAACATTGCGTTTTATTTTGAAAAAAAATGTAATTCTGGAAAAAATCTACAAAAAATTAATTGCTCATGAGAGTCTTATAAGCAATTGGAATGTAACTTAAATCTTTTTCAAGCTGTATCAATTATGATTCGTGGAATAGAATTATAAATTGCTTTGACGTTTAATTATCACGAAATCTATACGTGTGTATTTCAATCTATTCATTAGATTTATCTAATAAAAAATATAAAATTATTAATGGGTACACATATTTAATACGAATTAAATCATGAAAAAGAAAACTATAACAATATAATCAACAAATTAAATCATTCAATGATACGTGATTCACTACATCAATTTGCGACGAATTAATCAGAAACAAAAGGTTAGATAACGCCGACATTCAATAATATCTCATTTTAATAAAATTAATAAGTAATTTTTAGATTTCTTAGTAAAATAAACATGAATTTTCTAATGCCAACAACAATGCGATGCCCGAAATGAATCGGGTTGATTTATCGGGAAGCACTCGAGAATGAAGTACACGAGCTCGGCGGTTTTTTTTCTCTGTAATTGATAAAAATCGTTTGTTATTTTAAACATTCCATTTCATCGTTTATCTAATAATTATGTATTGTAAT